AGGATGAAGTCCTTTCTTGATAAACTATTAGAGGACATTGTCATGTTAATTGGGCCCTTTATTTTTTTTAAAGCAAAAAGTATCACTCACCTCACAAAATAACTTTGCTGTCACGATCACGTTGAAGAAGACGCTCTTTGCAAGCACTATTTTCAAACCCAGCAGGGCGGGGGAGAACACCTTCATATTTTCCTCTTTATTCATAACTATAGAACATGAAATGCATTTAAAACAAAAAAAACCCCAAAAAACTGCCCCACACTTTTTTTTTTTTTTTTTTTTTTTGAGCTGGAAGGCTTCATATTTTTCCGAAAGAAAAGTGCAAGTATAAAGATAATGTATGAAAAACAGGAGGAGATGAAGGCACAAACTTGTAGCTAGTTTGATGGTGATGAAGCCCAGCATGATGACGATAGAAAGTGGTTGTGGGAGAGTAGGACAAATATGGTTATACTGGAGGAACTTTAATTGCCGTTACTGGGAAATGGCCACATACAGTACAAATTAAGAAAAGGTATTTACAGTATGAGACTACAATATTTACGGTGTCTCCTCCAAGGAAAAAATTCCTTTTTGCTTTGTCCTGCACCCTTGATATGCATGGATGTTTACCCACATCAGGAAAGGCTGCACAGCTGGTCCTAAACTGGTGTTCAGAAATTACAGAACAAATTAACAGCCTCATTCTTGGTGATTTTACCTTTGAAGCCAGGAAAAATCTCAACCTCCCAATAGGTCACCTTCTAACCATGAAGACTTGAAGCAACATATTTAATATGTTCACTAACCTGGGATATTGGAGTCTGAAATATTGCAGATCTTGGGTATGATGGTAACAGGAGGAAGAGATGTGAAATCTGAAAGAAACAGATGAACCAAGCCCAAAGGGAATGATTTATACCAAAACCCATTGAAAACAGTCAGAAAGGGTTGACATACAACCTGCTTCCAAGTCAGTTGCCTGAATTAATCTGAATGTTGTTAACTTGCTTTTACCTTTAAGGAGGCATACCTGACTGTTTCTCAGCAATTTGGGTTTCATTAATAAATTCACGGTTATGTTGAATGGAGCAGAATACGTTTTCCTCTGAAGACACCTTGGCAACCTTGACAGCACTGTATTTCCCTCGGGAGGTCAGGACGGGATCAGTAGCTTCATATATAGTTTGACTGCCAGAATTCATGAAAATCTTCAGATCTTTAGGATAGAAATCATAGGCCAGGCAGGCAGCAATGCTCTCATTTTGTGATCTCATAATGAAGATGGAAGGCTTGGAAGGTTTTTGATCTCCTAGAAAGTTTAATGTCATGGCTGAGCATTTTCTTTTTAATTCTCAATTCTTTGTTTTTTTGCAAAATTTAGAGGACACGTTTGGGGAGTAGCAAATATTAAAAATAGAAAGCACTCCTGCAGGACCACCCATTATAACTGACACAATTTTTAAGGCAAGGAAAAGCAAGACTAGCATTGTAATCTGATCTGCACAACCCACACCAGCT